AATGTTTATGCTCTATGCAGGCTGTTAAGAGCAGTGAGCAGAAGTACCGGTCTATCATCTGGGGTCCAACCTGTGACAGCATTGACAAACTAACTGACGACTACTGGCTTCCTGAGTTGCACGTGGGGGACTGGCTTCTCATCGACAACTCGGGTGCTTACACTGTTAGTTTATGCACTGAATTCTGTGGCTTTGAAAGAACACACATTTACCCTGTTGTGACAGCTGAAACATGGCACGCCTTAAACCTTTCTCACATCTAAAACATTATCTATTAATGATGTGGTAACACTTCTCTCTGAGTTAAGTCTGTTATAGTCACACAGTATATAAGGTGCTGCTGAATTGTATGAAGAACAAAAAAGATAAGCATAAATATAACAAATGCATGCAGAAATGAATAACTAAATATATAAAAGAAGGAAAAATAAATACATTTTTGAAATATAAATTTGTTTTTTATTTGTTTACATTTATTTATGTATTTCTGTGTGAATTAATGTATTCAATTATATGTTTATTTATTTTCATATTTCTAAATATATTCATTTGATTATTTTTGTGCTTGTATGTCAACTGAGTGGTTGGTATTAACATCAGGCTGAAGCAGTGTTGCTCAGGGAGAGCGCAGTGACTCGCTATGCATTGAGTGAAGACCCGCCCCTACTCTGCCATTAATTAGCTATACCCTTCCAGGCGTACCAGGTTTCTGCTAAATGCTAACATTAGCCTAGTTATGATCCTAACTGGTGCTAGACAGGCGGTGTGGAAGGAGAGCTAGTCAGTCACAGCAGCTCATGTTTTTGTTCCTGTAGCACCAAAGCTGCACAGACAAGATGTACTAACAAAAGTTCTAAATATTGATATTTACAGTAAGTTATTAAAAGTAATATTTATTTTTTATAACTCACTTGCTTACACACTTACCCCTTGCAAATGCACCACACAAAACACAGACGACCAAATGACCAGTGTGTTATTGTTTTTCTCAATAATAAAAAATGATCCCAACTGACATGGCCATCTGGATGTTAACTTTTTTGCCATAACAAAAAAAAAAAGAAAAAGAAGAAAGAGAAAAAGAAACACATTTTATTAGTACAGTGTAATAAATACTTTTATTAGCAATAGGTTAATAATTTAATATGAAAACATTCAATTAAAAAAAAGTGTGGGCCCCTGTCAGACGCTCTGAAACCTCCTCTGTAAACAGTTAGTTTAAGCTTCTCTCTCTCCTTCTCCCCGGATCTCTGGATTAGTGTGTTCCTATAACTTATGTGTAAATAGTTTGTTTGAACATGTAAATATTTAAATAGTTTGATCTTTTGCCTTTTGTTGCACAATATTCTAAAAATGTCATCACTACCACATACATTTTTATATAATCTTTCAGCCAAACAACAAACGAAGGCCTGAACCCTGCTCTCTTTGCCTTTGTCATTATTTTGTACCAAATGAAAAACAGAATTGTGTCTTTATTTTAATTTATGAAAGAGTAGTTTAAATTGATATGAAATGTTAAGCCTTGTTTATATAGTTGCTTTATTTGTTGAACTATTTTTAACAATACTGTATATAAAGTATAAATAAAATAAAATAAAAATAATTAATGGATCATGAATTGACAACAGTATACCTTGTAAGCCTTAGAGTGATATCTTTCCTGCTGCAGCTTTACATCTAGAAAGGTTTCTTAACATTTTGAATTACTGCACTTACTTGAATGAAACATTAGGAGAAATAAAACATAACACAGCATAAACATACTGGTTTTTCACGATCTCCATAGTTTGCTTGATACATCAAGAGGAAGATTCACTTTCGCATTACATATTCTCTTATGTCTACAATATGCAAAGTTTTTAATGGTTTAATATAAAAGAGTATCCTGGGTTTGCCCAACTGTATAAATTTAAAGGTAAAAAAATAAATGCAAACTTCTCAACTTAATATTAATTTTTTATTTAGAACATTACAAGCAACCATGCCGCTTTATAAGAATATAATAGATATACATATACACTTAGGCCCAGAAATATTTGGACAGTGACACCATTTTCATGATTTGGCTCTGCATGCCACCACATTAGATTTGAAATTAAACAACTGAGGTGCAATTGAATGCAGACTTTCAGGTTCAATTCAAGGGGTTGAACAAAAATATCCTATCAAACGTTTAGAAATTGCAACCATTTTTAAACAAAGTCTCCTCATTTCAAGGGCTCAAAAATAATTGGACAAATTAACATTACCATAAATAAAATTTTCCAATCAACTTTGCTGCATTTGGCTGAATCTGAGCAGAAAGAATATCCCTATACACTTCAGAATTCATCCGGCTGCTACTGTCTCCTGTCACATCATCAATAAACACTAGTGACCCAGTGCCGTTGGAAGCCACACTGCCTCCACCATGTTTTACAGAAGATGTGGTGTGCTTTGGATCATGAGCCGTTCCAAGCCTTCTCCATACTTTCTTCTTCCCATCATTCTGGTACAGGTTGATCTTAGTTTCATCTGTCCAAAGAACGCTGTTCCAGAACTGAACCTTTAGATGTTTTCTGGCAAAGTCTAATCTGGCCTTTCTTTTTTTGAGGCTCCCTTTATGGTAGACTTAGTTCTTCACTTGGGTGGATGTGGATCGCAGGATCCTTTCTATGGTGAAGAAAAACCCCTTCACCATAGAAAGGATCCTGCGATCATCCACCACTGTTGTTTTCCGTGGACATCCAGGCCTTTTTGAGTTCCTGAGCTCACCAGTGCGCTCTTTTTTTCTCAGGATGTACCAAACTGTTGATTTGGCCA